AGAACGGCGCACGGTTCCGCTACCACTGCCCGCTGAAGCTGCTGCGGAACATGCCGCTGGACGCGTCCCACTACAGCCCACAGTTTGCCGTTGGGGAGCACGTGTGGCGTCTGCACCTGCAACGCCGCGCAGCCGCGGCGAGTGACGAGGGGTTCCTCTCTATTCATCTCCAAAGCTGCTCGAACGTGCCCGTGGTGGCCCAGTTCAAGTTAATCTTGCGCTGCTTCGAGGATCCACAGTCGTCAAAGGCCCACACCTTTCGCTGCCCGTTCAAGAAGTCCGGGAGCGCGTGGGGGATGAATGAGTTTATTTTGATCTGGCGCCTCCTGCAGCAAGAGAATGGGTTTGTCTACGAGGATGCGGCCTCCGGTGCCCTTTACTTTGACATTGATGTTCTGTTAAAGATATTGGAGGCCAGTAGTAACAGCCACGGCGTTGGCGTTCTCGACACAAACGTGCTGAATGAACGCTCCAGCTCGCCTCCCGTGCTGTCCACTTTGCATCAAGACCCAAAACACGCGTTTCTGCGCATGCGCTCGCCGTTGGAGCATAGAGGCGCCGGTGCGACGCGCTCCGCGTCCTCCAGAGGACGTTTGATCGTCGCGCCAGAGAAAAGCCCCAGCGTGGCTGCTGGGCAAGCAGTTGTCCGGGCACCGCTGCTGTACCCCTTTGAGCACCTTGAGGCGCTGACGGATATGACGTTTGACATTCAAGGGGTCCGCATGAAGGCGCATCGGTGCGTTGTCGCTGCGCGCATGCGTCCGCTTCTACCGGATCACGTGCTGCCGCTGCAAACTGGTTGCGTTGTGGCCATTGCGGTCACGGTAGATGTTTTCTCTGCCTTCCTGCAGTATGTGTACACGGAGGAGTGTCCCCAGCAAGGGGTTTTGCCGCCGGAGGCGCTACTGGATTTGTATTTACTCTCTTCCGCATGCGAATTCTACGACTTGTCTGGCGTCTGCCTGACCTTTGTGCGGCCGCTGCTATCGCACGAAAATATTCTCTCCATTACCCTGACGCGGTACAATGCGGGGGATGAGGTTCTTAACGCCTTGTACCTTCGGGTTCTCTTGGAAAACTACGATTTTCTCATTCAGGACCCGAAGTTTGAGGAGATTCCCGGCCACTTGTTTCGTCGCCTCTCCCTCATTATGCGCGACAAGGAGCCGGTGCCGCAGGTGGCCATCCCGACCTCGCGGAACACGCTTGGCCGGCAGCTGGCGTGGCTGGCGGAGTCGGGGGAGTACAGCGACATGGAGCTTGTGGTGGGGCCGAGGCACCTGATCGTGAAGGCGCACCGCTACATCCTGGCCTCCCGCTGCATCCTCTTCTCGCAGTCCATAAACCCGCGGTCCACGGTGGCGGTGCCGCCCTTCACGGCCCCTGAGTTTGACTTCTCCCAGCGCTCCTGGCAGAAGCTGCTTGTCGGGATCTACCGTCACCACCTTGAGTACTACCGCGACTTCTCTGCGGAGGACGTGGCCATCGTCTTCAAGATGCACGGCGTCTTTGGAATGGACGGGCAACTCAAGAAGGAGGCGGACGACGCCTTCAACTACCAAAATGCCCTCCGCCTGCTTATCTACGCCGTAAAGCACCAGGTGCCGGAGCTGCACGAGCGGGCGATTAGCTACGTGGCGAGTAATTTTAATGCGTTGATTCAAAGCGACCCGCAGGCATGGGAACTCATCGCCGAGTTACCGCAGCATGCTGTGGTGGCTCTCTTCCGCACAGTGGTGGAGAGCCAGCGGTGACAAAATCACGAGAGAGAGAGAGAGAGCGGAAAAAGCGACGAGAAGGTGGAAAAGGGGGAAGAAGGAAGTAGAATGTAGAGGATTGCAGGCAATAAGGCGCTTAGGAACACATGCCACGACTCTCACGCACGCATTCACGCTGAAGGCCGAATCGTCCTGCGAACAGCGGCGAAAGTACAGGAGGGAAGAAACAAGCGGGCGTCTGCGGGTGAGAGCAGGGAGGAGGAGGGGGGGGGGGGCGCATAATGGTACCCCGACATAAACCTTTGCCGCGTGATTTGCCCGACCCACGCGGTCTATCGGCTTTCTGAACTCATGACGTGCCGGGGCCACGCCTTGTACCTGTTTTTTTTTTTTTGCTTTGTTCTGTATTTTGTTATATTATTTCTCGTCCTTCAGCTATTCGTGTGCTCCGTCCTTTTTGCGGGTGGGAGCAGGGCGGTGCCGGTCGCTCTGTTGCCTCCCTCCTCTTCTCTCTCCATACTTTTTTTTTTCTTCTCTTGAGCCTCTAGGCCGGCGTCACGCCGTCGCTCTCTGCTTGCGCTTCTCCTGACAGAAGTCATCGCATTACATGCCATGACGCTCGCTCTTTTACTTTATTTTTTCCGCATTCCCTTGCTCTTCTTTTACTTCCCTTTATTTTATTTTTATTTTCATTTTTCCTCTTTTCCGTGTCTTTATTTCCCCGCCTTGCGCCTACTTGGCACGCATGACTCCAATGGAAGGCTGCTTCTTTGTCTATCCCAGTCCTACCTGCAATATCCACGTGCTGTTGCTGTGCTGTGTAGGCGGCGCGCGTGCGTGGTTCATGGGAGTCTGCGGCGCGCATTACTAGAGCGGTTTAGTTTTATCCGTCGCTGACGCTGCAAGGATAGCACAATGAGAAAAACGGCACCTCTTGAAAAACTCGTTGTCGCGGATACGGTGATTCAGGCTTGCCTGGCACACGCCTTCACGACGGAGCAGGAGGAAGTGATGGGGCTGTTGCTTGGCGATGTCACGCTGCATGACGGTGGCGGCACCGCAACTGCCACCCCCACAGGGACCCTGACGGCGGCTGCAGCCGCGACCCCCGCCGTGTCCGGTGGCGCTACTGCGCCGAGGACAGGCGTGACCGCCGGCGCTGCTGCTTTGGACACCACAAGCCCCATATTCCGTAAGCGCGCCAATGTGTGGGGGACTTGGGTCTTGCAGCGCAGCGTCCGCCGCTCCGACCGCGTCGAGATTGCCCCGGAGATGCTTGCCAGCGCCACGGAGGAGGCCAACCGCTACACACAGCAGGTGGGGCGTCAAACTCGCGTGATTGGGTGGTACCACAGCCACCCCCGCATCACCCCCTACCCATCGCAGGTGGACCTTCGCTCGCAGGGGGCGTACCAGCAGTTGGAAAGCGGCTGGGTTGGCCTGATATTCAGCGTCTTTTACAGCGACGCGACGAACAGAAATAGCGTCTCGATTCACTGCTTCCGGACCGGCCCGGGCGAAACACACGAGAAGGTTGAGATGGAGATTGTCCCAGTGGGGAAGATGCCACTGAGGTTCCTGCCGCCGTGTGAGGTCACATGTCACCTTCTGCATGTATTTCGCGCCGAGGTCGCCGCCGCCGTGGAGATGGTGCGGCGGCGCTGCAACAACGCACCTGACGCCATGGCGGCAGCGTTCGCCTTGCAGGTGGTTCAGCTGTACACTCTTGACAAGTTGATTGCGCAGCCCACCTTGCGGCACCTGAAGTCTTCCATTGCTTCCCTGGAGCGTCAGGTGGAACGTCTGGAGCGTGAGCTGTCGGCGCCGAAGCCGTGACATCCTGCCTTTTTTTTTTTTGGTGTCTCTCCCCCTCTTTAGTGTGCGCCTGCCCGCCACCGACTGATGCTTGTGCCTTGTTTTTTTTTTTTTGCGGGTAGGCGGGCGCGTCTCATCGTGGAAGTATTCCTTCCTTCTTCCGGGGGCGCAATGTGGGTGAACGCGTGGCTGTCCATGCCTCTGCACTTTTGCTGCAGTTCTGTTTTTGCTCCATCGTTTTTCCGCTTTTTCTCTGTCGTTCTTCATGGGTTTTTTTTATTCCCTGCTTTTCGTTCTGCTGCGACGACACTTCCTTGCGTTTTCGGTTTGCGACCGCCCACAGCTCAGGAAGCTGCGGTGCGTGGAGCGTGGGGCGGTGGCATTTCCGGGCCTCGTTGGCGCATTGCTCGTTGGCCGCTTTGTTTCGTGCCGCATTCACGGCGCTGCTATGGCGGCACAGCGCGCGACGTCCTTCGGCGGCGGCTCTTGGATGTACGAGTGGGGCCATGGCGGGACGACGGGCGGCGGCGCGCGTGCGTCGCCGCGGCTCATGACCTCCACTGCCGCTGCTGCTGCTGCTGCTGCTTCTGTGGCGTTGCGCAGTCCAAACTCCCCCGGGGAGCGCCGGCCGGACGTGCGGCGACCCATGTGGTCTTTGGACGACTTCGACGTGGGACGAAAGTTGGGGGAGGGGCGCTTCGGCAAGATTTACCTCGCACGGGAGAAGCGCACGAAGTGCGCAGTCGTGCTGAAATGTCTCTCGAAAGACATGCTCCGCTACCACGGTCTCGCCCACCAGCTGCGGCGGGAGGTGGAGCTGCAGGAGTACGCGGGACGTGGTCATCGTCACATCCTGCGCCTCTTTGCGTACTTTTGGGACGAGCTGCGGGTCTTCTTGGTGTTGGAGTACGCGGACGGGGGGAACCTGCTGACCCTGCTGGACTCGCGGGTGCGGCATCGCCTGTCGGAGGAGGCTGCGCGGGGCATTTTGCGGCCGCTGCTCTCAGCCCTCGCCTTCCTGCATGAGCGAGACATCATACACCGTGACGTGAAGCCGGATAATGTTTTGATCAAAGGCGACGAGGTGAAGCTGGCGGATTTTTCGTGGGCCGTGCGCCTCGACCGCGGTGCCACGCATCACACCCGCCGGTACACACTTTGCGGCACGATCGATTACCTCGCACCGGAGCAGGTCTCAAGGCAGGGCTGCACGACGAAGGCGGATGTGTGGGCCCTTGGGATCTTGACCTACCGCGTCCTGTGCGGTTGTCTCCCGTTTGAGCACCTCTCCGCCTGGGAGGTGTGTGCCCGCATCACAAAAGGGGATGTGCGCTATCCCTCGCATCTTTCAATGGAGGCGTGCGACTTTATGAAGTCCCTCCTCTGCGTGGATGAGGCCAAGCGGCTTTCGTGCGAGGAGGCTCTGCAGCACCCCTTCATTCAAGGCAACAGCTGCGGTCTAGACGACGAGAGCGTAGAGACGGAGCTGCCAAGCGCCGTGGGATCTTCCTGCTTAGGCACGCCTGAGACGTGGGGGGACGCACAGCTGACGCAGCTGCCGCAGCTGCCGCAGCCTTCGCTCACGACGGTGGCGGCGGACTCTGCAGCCTCTGCGCGGGGACGGGAGCGGCAAACCCAACCACCGCTGCAAGTGAGCGATAAAAGTAACGGGGATGGTAGTAGTCAAAATAGCACCAACAACGGCAATGGTGCGACCCGCAAGTGGGCCACGACAGCTACTTGCAGCCAGTCTCTTTCGGGTGTGAGCTTTGTCACGGTTAGTTCTTCCCATTCCACGGAACGCATTCCGAGCGTGCAGGACGTGTGCACGCCCGACATCTCCCCTGTCCCGCACAGTGAGTGGATGATGTCGGGGAGAAACGTTGGCAACGGGACAGCGTCAAAGGGCGGCTCCGAGGATGTGGCAACCTCAAGCCAAGGGGCGAGTTTTAGTCGCCCCCGTAACCAGAACAGCACATGCGATAGAAGCGGCTTGGCAACGACGCAGCGCGGCCCGACTCCATCCCTCTCACCGCAGCTCATTTACCCGAATGCCGTCACTGACGAGGTCTGGCGTGGGGCAGAAAATGGGGAGAGAAACTGCGTCATGCAGCTGCGCTTTGACGATAGTCCTGTGTCCCTTTCTCAGCTCACAGCCGCGTCGGCGAGCACCGTTGATTCCGCCGGGAACACGTAGCTGTAGAGGGCCGGCGTCATTTCAGCTCTCCTCGCCAGAAGCGCAGACGACTGTCGCGTTGCTGTTGCTGATGACGACGACATTGATTCTCTCTCTCTCTATTTCTATACATATATACATATATACATATATACATATATATCTCTCTCTGTCTGTGCGTGTGCGTGTTTTCACACTCCCCGCGTTCCTAATTTTTGGGGCTCCGCCACCGCCACCGCCACCATCATTATAGATTCAATGCTTAACAACGGCCCCGGCCTGGGCACAGACATATAGACATATATATATATATATATATTAGACACACCCACATTGACATGTGCAATGGAAAGAAGTTTGCAGTGGGGTTGCGGGCCGAGAAAGCTGCTCACTGGTGTGCGGGGTCTTCACCTTTTAGAGAGGACCAGGGGGGAAGCCATAAACCCGCCCGTGAAGAATGGGGTGCGGGGGGAACCGCTACGCACAGGCAAAAAAGAAAAAGAGGTAACTCGTCAATACTTTCGGGGTTTCTCTTTCTACAACTCTTCAACGCATCTCCTCTACCCTTCTTTCAACAAGTTTGTTCTCTATGGGCTAAGTTTCCCTTTCTGCTGCAAAGTCTATTATTTTTATTTTTATTTTTATTTTTTTTGATCCGCCCACCGGGCCCATTGTTTTTCTCCCATCATTTCTCGGCCCTGTGCCTTTCCCTTTCCTTCTCTGTGACTGCTTTGCATGCTGTTGGCGGTGGGGGAGCAAAAGGAAAAGGTCAAGAAGGAAGCGATAGCGCATGCCGCTGGACCTGGTGGGGAAGCTTCACCGCACGGTCTACATTGAAGGCTGCCCGTCGACAGTGCGGGAGGACCTCTTGCGGCTTCTTGTGACAAAATGTGGCGCCATCGAGGGTTGGGACGTCACGGGTGAGCGACTCATCGTCGTGTTCAGCAGCATGAACAGCATCAGCACCGCCATCACGTTTAACGGCACAGCCTTTGGCGACCTCACGAGCAAACTGTTTTTGTGGGTGGCCACCGAGTCGCCGCCAGCGGGGGTGGCGCAGCAGCTGGCCATTGCGGACGGCGGCAGCGGCACAAAAGGGGGCCCGCGTTCAGCGGAGGAGCTGAAGTCTGCACGGGAGGCACGCGAAAAACGACTAGCCGCCATCCGTTCCGAACTGGCGCCGGAGATTGAGGTTGAGCAGAGCACTGAAAGCAGCGAGGTGAGGCGGCTGAATCTATGCCTGAGGCAGCTCAAGGCTCTCGGGACGCTTACCAGCCACGCGCTTGCTGAGGCTGAGCAAAAACTAGAGGAAATCTCCACACACCTCGGCGCCTCGCAGAGGCTGCTGGAGAACCTGCGAGCGGAGAAGCTGGCCAAGGCGACAGTTACTCCCGCCGCGCAGGCAGACAAGCCTGATTCCGTGGAAGAGACTAGCGCGGCCGCTGACCTTCCTGGGGTGTTGGGCGAGCGCGAAGATGTGGCGCAGCGTGTGGAAGCGATGGTGGCCGCAGCTGAGGATATTGGCCAGTGGCGAAAGCGCTCCCGAGGAGACTGAGAGGCGATTCTCCCCCCGAGTCTGCGAGTCCCTTTTGTGTTTTTCCTCTCGTTGTTGTTGTTGCAGGGTGGGAGTTCCTCTACACTTGTGGCATCGCTGGTTGATGTCACTATTGTTGTTCTACCTGTTTCTCGGCTTTGACGACGACGGCGGCGGCGGCGGCGGCGGAGAGTGTGTCCCTCGGCCCCCGTTCCTCCCTGCATCCCGACGTGGCTGGGTTTCCCTTTTCTTTTCGTTGTTGTTCTTCTCTGCCTTCTCCGTCGGTCGCGTCGTCGTCACGACGCGTTGCTGCATATCTTCTTCCGTTGCTCCAGCGGAAGTTGTCGTGGGACTCGATGTGGGCTGGCGGCAGGGGGGCCGCCGTGCTGCGGCGTGCGACCTCCCCGATGTTGTCCTGCGGCTGGCGTCGCAGCGTCGCTTCCACCTCCGCCGAGAAGGCCGCCGCGTCGCACGCGACGAGCGAGCGGACTGGGATCTACGGAGTGCAGGGATACGAATTTGTGGAGGGCTTTCGCGTGCTTGGCCCAGGCGCGGCGCTCATCCGGCTGAAGGCAGCGCTCAGTGTCTACGGGCTGCTCGGCGCCACGGCGGCCTCGTGCGTCGCGTACTACCTTGCAACGCGCAGCTATGAGCTGACGACGGACCCGGACCCGTACGCCAAGACGCGGCTCCAGTACTTTGCCTCTGACTATGCGGTGCTGCAGAACCGGTGGACAGGCAGCCGCCGCGTGGTGGCGCTGAGCGACGACGCGGCGAACGCGGGTGCGGCGAAGGAGCGGGATCATCCCAAGTCGTCGGAGTCGTTAATCGCGACGAGGCGCATTCATGTCAACTGGCTGCTGTACCGCGTGCGGCTGTATTTACATGCTACCGACTCCGCCGTTGTGGTGGATTTGGGGGCGGACATGGACCCCTACCGCTTCGCCGTGAAGCGCGGGCGGCGGCCTGCGACGGCCGCGGAAGGGGCGGCGGGTGTGGGGAATTCTGCGACCGCGCGCGTGCTCTACCGCTCCCGCCTTCGTCCAGCCATGACGCGCAACGAGTACCAGAGGGGAAGTCTCCCGGTGTATGAGCGGACACTGGAGACCGTAACGCGGGAAGTGTTCCAGGAAAAGTATCGGCGGGCCATTCTGTCGCGGGCGGCGTCGCGGCTGAGCCCGGCGTTCGCCGAGGAGTTTCTGCGGAGCGGCGCGCTGAACGGGGAGGGCATGTCGTGGGCCGACGTCGTCCCCGACACGGCGGCCTTCTCGGCGGAGGTGCGGCAGCGGGTGGAAAAGAAGCTGGCGGATCAAGTTATTCTCCTGCAGGTAGACATGACGGTTCTCTGAGGCTTTTTTGTTTTCCTTTTGCTTGCTGGCACTTTTCCCTCTTGGTTTCTCTCGTTTGGCGGGAGCGAGACGAAAGGCAGCGTGGCGCGAGCAAAAAGCGAGAGCAAAAAGAAAAGGGGGAGAAATAGTGCGGTGGCGGTGGCGGTGTCTCGCGGCCCGGCCCATGCGTCGCGTGGACTTTCATTTGCGTGTCTCACGGCCGCGTGGCCCCTCGTACGTTGCCTCTCCCTTGTTTTTCCCGCGCCGGCGCAAACGCGTTGCCAGCCGCTCCACGCGCCTCTCCCCCTCCACCCACCCCTGCGAAAAAAAAAACCGAACACACGCACACACACACACACACAAGCACAAAAGGGATGTGGCGCACCCTCACGCTGTGCGTCTCGCGACGTGGTGCGCTTTTCGTCTCCAAGAAGAACCTGCGTTTGAAGTGTGGCACGTGCCGTCGCCTGCTGCCCGCGGCGCACTTTAACAAAACCACCACACTGTCGCAGTCCCTTGTCTGCGTGGACTGCAAGCGCCTCTGCGTCCTCTGCGGCCTGCACTTCACACTGGACCACTTCACGGACGCCGGCGCCGAGCTGTGCGACAGCTGCCTGGCGAAGCGACACGTGGCACGGGAGAATGTCTACTTTCGCTACCCCGTGCTCAAGTACCGTGCCTGCCCCTTTAGTGTCGACCAGATGCGGGAGGAGATCCGCCACGAGGAAGGCCCAAGAGGATGAAGCCGGTGGCCTTCCCCACGTACAACCCCGCCCGTCATTTGGTCCCGCCGCACACGACAGGCAGCCGTGCCATGATGGTGGTGGCGCAAGTCGATCTGCTGTTGCTTGTTGGCGTATATCCCTGTTGCGTTTTTTTCTCTTTACTTATCTTTTTCCTTTTGCTCCCGCCCCCCCTTTTTTATTATTATTCTTCTCCCAATTCTCTTTTTTTCTTCTGCTTCTTGCTTCCCCCCCCCTCCGGCGTTCCCTCCTCCTGCGTCGCCGCCCCCCACGGGAATGGAGCCGTCCGTGGCGCGCAGAGAACACTTCCCACCCACTTCAGGCCGCGGCGCGCAAACGTTGCGCGGTTGCTTTGACGCCCGTTGAGTTGCGCAACGCTTCGCCATGACCCCCGACGGAGGCCCCGGCCGCGTGAGTCCCACGCAGATCTACTGGTTCTACCCGAACCTCATCGGCTACGTGCGGGTCCTCCTCTCCCTCGCTTCCTTCGCCGTGCTGGGCAACTACCCTGGGCTATTCCTCGCCTTTTACACCCTGTCCTTCGCGCTGGACGCGGCGGACGGAGTGGTGGCGCGCTACATGGACCAGTGCTCACACTTTGGGGCCATTTTCGACATGCTGACAGACCGTGCCTCCACCGCCGGCCTCCTGCTGGTGTTGAACCACGTGGTGCAGCCCATGCCCGAGTGGTTTACGACGCTGTGCGCCTTTCTCGTCTTCCTGGATGTCGCGTCGCACTTCTGTCGCATGTACGTCACACTCTTTCTGCGCAAGGGGTCGCACAAGGACGTCTCTGAAAGCACGTTTTTCTTGCTGCGGCTGTATTACTCGAACCGCACCGTGATGGGTGCCTTCTGCGTTGGGCAGGAGTTCTCGTACATCCTCCTGTACGCGTACTGGATGTATCCCGAGGTGGCGTGGGTGCAGGCGCTCACGCTTCCCCTGCTGCTCGCGATGGGCGCCCTGAACGCGCTGAAGCAGGTGGTGAACGTGCAGCAACTGCTGGATGGCATGTACCACCTCGCCGTGCTGGATGCGAAGGAGCGGGAGGAGCGTGGAAAGAAGCAGTAGTGCCTTCCTCCCCCGTCTGCGGTAGGACACGCATGGGCGATTTGCGGTGAGGGGCCGATAACAGGCCAGCGCAAAGGCAAAAAAAGAGAGTGAACTTGAAAGAAGTAGCGTTAATACATAGCGAAGGATGAACACATCATCCTTGTCGCCTTCACCGTCGCCCTTCTGCACCCATGCAGGGAGTATCTGTGGATGCGTACTCGCACGCCTCTCCGTCTGTCGGTGTTGGCGGCTGCATGCAGTGATGCAACCGCGTCGGGCAGTTGCTTCCTTTTTTTTCTTTTTTACTGTTGCTTCGGTTGGGTTGGCGGCCTATTTACTGCTTTTCCTCTGCATCCTGGCCCCGCCGTCTCTTATTATTATTTTTCTGTTTCTTGCAACTGCGGCTGGAGGTTCGAATTCTTGCCTCCCGTGCCAGCTGGTTCGTGGCAGGAGAACGCGAAAGACGCGAGGGCGAACTACTAGCAGCGTGGGTCCAACGACACGCACGCACACGCACACACACGAACAGTGCGAAGAAGGGGGCGGGAGGCGGTTTCGCGGCGCGTGTCTCCGGCCGCAGGCATACACGTGTACACAACTGCCTATGCGGGGGCCCAGACGCGCGGAGGCGGCCCCTAAAAAGACGGTGCGTCTCACACGATCGAGGGGCTCGTTGGGCGCGGGCGAGGCCAACAACAGTAGCACCGGAGCGGGGAGCCGATCTTCGCACGACCAACCGGCGGAGATGCCGCATGCGGCCCGCTTGCACCCCTCCACGGACGGCGCCTCCGCCTCCGCTGCGTCTTCGCCGGACGCGACGCAGGTGGTGCAGACCCTGGAGGAAGGCAACGCGCTTGTGAGGCGGCTGCGGCAGCTGGAGAATGAAAACGCCTCCCTCGCCAACGCCCTCACAAAGGTGTGCGACGACAACGCGAGGCTGGCGAGGCACGTGGGCCAGCAGGAGGAGAGGTGCGTGGCGCTCTCCACCCGCCCCTTCGCGGCGGCGTCCGTGTTGCACTCTCTCTTTGAGCCGGAGAAGACGGGCTGGTTTGGGGGCTCGAAGTCCGCGGCGCGCGAGGGCTTGGAGGCGATGTTGCAGGCGCTGCAAAGCGAGTTTGTTGAGTACCAGGCGAACCACGCCTCCTCCAACGACGAGGTGCAGGTGCTCATTGGAGAACTGCAGAACGCCCACATGAATGCGCAGAGGCTCTCGGTCATTGTGCATGAGCAGCAGGATGTGATCAGCCGCGGGCCGCTGAGCGTCGCCGTTCGCATTCTTCCTAGCCAGACGGAGGCGGAGCGGGTCTCGCTCATAGACTTGCGCCACGAGTTGGAGCGCCGCTCGGAGCGTGAGGAGGAGCTTCGCCAGGAGCTTCGTGGTGCACGCGAGGAGTTGCAGATAAAGACGGTGGAAAACGCTCGACAGCAGCGGGAGCTGCAGTCCCTGCGTCTGGAGGGCAGCAACTCCAACGAGGTGGAGCTGCAGTACCTCAACGACGAGGTCGCGCGGCTGAAGACGGAGGTGGCGCAGCTGCAGAAGGCCCTGGCCACGGAAGAGCAACTGCATAAACTGAAGGTGGGCGAGAACGCCACCCTGGCGCAGCAACTCACTGAGGCAATGAGCCGGCTACGTGCACCCGCCGCGGAGGAGCGGGCGCCGCCGCCGCAGGAGGCGCCGTGTGACCGATGCGGCGAACTGCAGCAGGAGTGCGACGTCGCGAATGGGCGCCTGCAGACGGCCACGCGGGAGGTGCAGCAGCTGGAGGCGCGACTGACGGAGCTGCGGCGGGCGAACGAGCTGGAGGTGGACGAGCTGCAGCGGGACAAGGCGAGGCTCGAGCAGAGGTTGTACCACAGCGTCGCACGCGACGCGCTGGAGGCGGCGGAGGCGCGGAACAGGCAACTTGCGCAGGAGCTTGAGTTCACCGCCGCGCGGGTGAAGCACCTGGAGGAGCTTGTCGCGCGGGAACGCGAGAAGGGCACCGGTGACGCGGCCGGAGGCAGCGGCAGGGGCGAATCCGCGCTGGACGACCGAGAGATCCTTAGCGCGCTGGAGCGCAACCGGGCGCGTATCGAGTGCGTGGAGTTTCAGCGCAATCAACTCCAGGAGGAGGCGAAGCAGCTCCGTGCGGCGGCGGCGGCGAAGGAGGAGGAAGTCATCCGGCTCACGCGCGCCTCCCAGGAGGACAAGCAACGCATTAACTTCCTCTTGAAGCGCTGTGTGACGCTGACGAGCGACCTCAACAGCAGCGCCGCCGCGAAGGACGCACTCGTCGAGGAGAAGGAGGCCGCGCAGCTGGAGCTAAAAAAGCTGCGGCGCGAGGGCGAGGAGGTTGGGAAGCTGCAACAAAACGTGGCTGAGCTGCGGCAAAAGAATGATGCCCTGCAGGATCGTCTCTCAAGCGTGGAGGTGCTGGAAAATGAACTTGTCAAGGCGAAGGAGACCATCGCGTACATGGAGCTGGCGCAGAGTCGCACGATAAACATGAGCCAGTACGCCGAGCTGCAGTCGCAGAACTCAAAGCTGGCCAACACGCTGGAACCGATCAAGAAACAACTGGAGGAGGCCCGAAGAGAGTTGGGACGCATCAAGGAAGAAAACGAGAGCCTCCACGCGGTGCTGACGCGGCAGCAGAACACAATCAAGTCCCACGAGGAGCAGACGGCGGCACTGCAGTCCAGCGACGCCAAAATGCGGGAAAAGTGGAATCAGCTCAGCAGTGAAAATACACGCCTACGGGACGTGAATGCGACGTTGGAGGCGCAGATGACGGACATGCAGGACGGCATCAAGGAGATGGCGGTGAAGTTGGAGCAGGAGCGCACGCGCGCCCAGGTGGCGGCGGAGGCGGCCTACAAGGAGGAAAATGCCCAGCTGCAGCGCAAACTCGACGCGGCAAACGCAACGCTGGCAACGGTGCGTGCGACGCAGGACAACTTTGTTCCGGAGGCCATTCACAAGGCGACCCTGGCGGAGAAGGGGCGGGTCAGCGAGGAGCTGAGGCAGAAGAGCTTTGACCTTGACAAGCTAAAGTCTGAAATTCTCATCTACCGTCAAACCATCGACGACCTAGAGACGGAGAACGAGGATCACGTGCGGCAGATTGAGTCTTTGCAGGCGACGCACCAAAAGGAGCGTGGCGCCGCCGCCGAGCGACTCGCGGCAGAAACGAATAAACTCACGGAAGCCTATGAGGAGCTAGAGGAACTTCGAACGCAGTTGGGGGAATTGCAGCAAAGTGAGCAGCAGTTGCTGTTGCGCCAGAAGGAAATGGAGGAGGCGGCGCAGAAGCACCGTCGGGCCTTTGAAGACAAGTGCCGACAGGAGGAAAAGCTTCTGCAAACGGTTACCACGATAAACCAAGAGATGGAGAGACAGCGGGAGGAGCTGGACGGGGCAAGGAATGCGGTTGTGGAATATAAAGCGAAGCATGAGAAGCTGGAGGCCGATATGGAAGATGCAGCGGCACTTGGACTGCGTCAGCAACAGGATGCGGAGGCTGAGCTTGAGAAGCTGCGCGACGAGCTTCGACGTGTGCATGCAGAGAAGGCAGCTATGGAGTTGGATCTTGGGAAGCTGCGGGAGGTCACAACAGGCAATGGTCCTAGTAGGAATACAAAAACTCGTCGCGATAGCAATGGTGGGGATGCGAACAGTAATAGTCATGCTGCCGCTGCTGCTGCTGCTGCCGCCGCCGCCGCCACCGAGATGAAAGAGCGAGGCGTCACTGACCGCAGCGCTTGCGTTAGTGTAGAGACGGGTGCGTCCTTCGCCGACGCCGCCGTTCAATGCGCGCTGGCGGAGCAGCCGCAGACGTCGCTGATACACCCCCAACCGCAGCTGGAGGGGCAGCTGCAGTCCAGTACGGAGGCGGCGGAGACGCTTGACAGGGCGCTTGACAAGGCAGACGCCGAGGCTGCGGCGCTGCGGGAGCGAGTCCAATACTTAGAGAGTGAACTCCATCGCAGGGCGCACGACAGCGACGAACCACTGAGTTTGGCCTCGGGGCAGTCAAGGAGGAGGAAAAAGAAGGCAGCCAAGAAATGCCTTTCATCCATGGCCCATGTCGAAGATCTACAGGAGACAGACGTCTTGGCGCTCGCTGCCGCAGATGGGGGGGTGAAGCAGCAGCAGCAAGTCCAGCTCCAGCAACAGCGGGAGACGCTGGAGAAGCTCGAGCAGGAGGTGTTGGTGCTTCGGGAGGAGAATGTGCGACTCAAGGAGAACATTGCCACTCTCACGCAGGAGTTAGTAGACGCCCATGACGATCTGGAGCTTGCAACTAAAGATGTCGACTCTCGCACTGCCGAGCTGCATGAGCAGATTCGATTCCTGGAGTTGCAGTTGCGGAGCCACTCAACCGACGCACAGGGAGAGACGGAGTTGCGGCGACTCGTGACGGAGAACAGCAGACTGCAATCGGAGCTGGGTGCCCTTTCGGATGCCGTGAGTACGGCGTCAGGAAGCCCTGACGCGACGGTGCGGCGACTGCAGTTGGAGCTACAAAACCTCGCAAAGGAGCTCGTGCCGACGAAGAATAGACTCGTTGAGTACATGGCAATGGCGGATAGACTTGGCATTCACTACCCCTTTTCACCTGATATGGAGGGGACTGCGGTGCTTCGCCTGAAGGCATTGCATTTTGACTCCGTCACCGGGCGAGCGCGGGCGAGCTCGGCTCCGCGGCGACCATCCGCTTTCTCTGCCAGCAGAGAAACAGGACCGCCGGCTACCAGGCCTAAGAAAAGGGCAAAGAAGCAGCCCAAGTCGGAGAGCCAAGTCGATGAGCTTTCGGACCTGCGATGAATGTTCCCCAGGGGTTAATGTTGTTTTGCTGGTCATTCTAGTTTACGTGTGATGAACATGCTGGCGGTGGTGGTTTGTATGACGTTGATGTACCCAATCTAGGCGCTATTTTGTTTTAGCCTTTGCTCTTTTTGCTCTTTTCCTTTTTTTTTTGGTTTCTTGATGCGTGTATATACCTACATTTGTATATATTTTCCTGTGTGGCTCTAGAGTTATATATATATATATATATATATATATATACATACAGCTATAGTTATATACACTGTATGCACTGACTCTGCGCCACATATACGTATTGTATACTTGTAGGTGATGGATTTGATTCGTTGTGTTCTGGCTGTCCTCTTTATTTATTACTGTCCCTTCCCTTCGTGTGGCATCTGCTGCCAGTGTAGTTTTCTCCGTTTCAGCTTCTCCTTTTAGTGCTGTGTTTCTTCAGCAGCTTGGAGCCAAAGAAGGCATCCGGGACAAGTGACGCGGGTGCTGTACACCGTGTTGTTTCCTCTTCTCTTGCTGTATTATTGGCCTCCATGCTCAATCTGCATACATGCAGCGCATCTGCAAGGTTTCCTGTACTGATACATTCTTTTCTCACCTTCCATGCCGATATATATATATATATATATCCGTCTCTCCCTCTTTTTTTTTTGCCTTCCTCTTCTTTCTCTTGCTTCTGTTTTGCAAACATTTAGCGACCTTGGAGGTGTTTACCCCGCGGCCTCGCTACGAGGAGGGCGGAGGCGCTTACTTCTTCCCAAAGAAAGGCGGTATAGTGCACAGGAGGAGGAAAACATTTATCTCTGCTTTGTGCTTCGTTGCGGAAGGTTAAGGAGAAGAGGCGGGGCAGGAGTTCGACGAGAACCGTGACGGTGCGTGAAGGCAGTTATGAGCGACAGCCTGACGGACGATTTTCAGGGGCCACTGAGCGCACCGAGTGGATACGTGAAGAACGCCCAACTTTCTGGTAACTGCACCTACACTGGGCAGGTTGCCGACGACTCCATGCATGGAGAAGGTGTTTTGACGACAGCGCTGGATGTGTACACGGGGAGTTTCTCGTGGGGCATGCGCCATGGGCAGGGCGTCTTCCGCTCCAAGGTGGAGAAGCATCCAACCGGGGTCAGGCTGTACGATGGCGCCTGGAACATGGATGAGCGTCACGGCATCGGCAGCATTGAGTGGTGCAACGGCGACTCCTACGAGGGAGGCTTTTTCAAGGGAAGACCGCATGGGGAAAAGGGCTCCTACGCCTTTGCGGACGGTCGTCTCTACGAGGGGGAGTACAGGCACGGCGTCCGTCACGGCTTTGGTCGTTTGACGCAGAGGAATGGTGAGTACTACGAGGGCGAGTTTAGGGATGGCGCAATGACGGGGAAGGGGACGGGGTGGTACGCCGGGGGAAAGCGCGTGTATGAGGGAAGCTGGGAAAACGGCGGCAAGGTGCGAGGGAAGATGACCTTTGCCGACAGCAAACGCATGTACAACGGCGACTGGATGAATGACAAGCCCCACGGAACAGGTGAAATGGTTTTCGCGAACGGTGATCACTACATTGGCGAATTTGTCCTGGGGAAGCTTCACGGCGCCGGTTCCATCACCTACCACTCGCAGGACGGGAGAACGTACTGCGGCTTCTTTATGGAGAATCAGCCACATGGGAAGGGAGTGCTCACGATGTCAGACGGCAGCACGGTCGTGGGCTACTTCCAGCGTGGGAAGCAACTCCCGGCGGATGCGGCGGCGGCCATTGAGCAGGTAATACAGGAAACCGCGTCCTTCTCTGAAGCGCCCGCCAAGGATGAGCCACGGTCTGCGGTTTCCACGCCTAGACAGGTTGCGGCCACACGACCCCCCTCTCTGGCGGAGTCACTCGCGGATGTTGCCACCACCACCGCCGCCGTCGCCGCCGCGAAGAGGAAGAATACCAACGGAAAGGTGTCGTCGTCCCAGCCCTCCCCGCAGCAGGAAAGGTTGGAGGCAAGCGCGCCATTGCCAAGGAATAATGAGGCAGGTATATCGCTTCCATCCATTTTGGTGGAGAGGCCAAGTGAATTTACAATGCCGCAGCTCCCTAGCTTAAACCCGCACAACGCACTGCTGGAGCCCAATGGGAGTTGCAGCCATCTTAGCAAGAAGGAGGAGGGGGAGTTGTTGGCCTTCTCCGCCTCTGTTATCGCCGGCGGTGTGCCGAATGGCTGTAAAGGGTGGCTGGAGAAGTTCTCCATTGGACGGAGTTACATTGGCAGAAGAAATTGGCGCCGTCGGTTCTTTGTTCTTGCCCCATTCAACACGGTGGTGAGTCTAAGCTACTTTAGGGACGAGTTATGCCGCAAACCCGTGTCTTTCCTGCTTTTGAATACTGATGACACTCGTGTCGTCACGCGGCCATCGTTGCGTACACACAAGGAGGCGACGCGGCCAGGGCGTGAAGTATGCATTATATATACGGAAAAGGAGAATGAGTACAAGCTGCTGCTCCGCGCCGATTCCGAGTATGATCGCGAGTACTGGGCGTATACTTTGTGCAAGTTGTTTGATATTATTGATTACCCCTCTGATTTTCCCTTGTTGACCGGCAGCTAAGCGTAGGCGGCGTGCCAGGAAGGCAAAGGAAAGCCGTGTTTGACAGTGGCGTGCAATGTGCATGTGTGTGTATGTGTATGTTTTTCTTTTTAGTTTCGTTTTGCCACGTGCCGCCTGCGTGCATAAGTGCGGGATTATTTTTATTTCATTTTATTTCTTGTTATTTTTTTTTCTTCTGTTTCTCACTGTTCAACGGTTCCTTCCCTTTATTTCTTGATGACGAGATGCCATGACGTTTCTTCTGTTTTACCTGCGGCGTCCACCGGGGGGTGACTGGTCGACTCGTCGCTTTACTCCCACGCACACGCACACACACACACACACATCCCGCTCCCGACTGCCATGAATGCAGCTCACGCACTTGGCTGCCATCTCACTCTCCCCCTTTTTCTCCTTCTATCTCTCTCTGTGCCGTTGGCTCTCCACAGTGCATCGGCTGGAAAGGGACGACGGTAGCGGGCGGGGGCGGGGAAGTACGAGGTGCGTGGCCGGCGGCAATAACAAAACGGGGCGCCGCAGCGTGACATACGTGGCTGCACCCACAGGTCGGAGGCACGCACAGCAGAGATGCCGACGCACGTGCCGGATCCCGCGCCCTGCGCCGTTGAGGCAACATTGTGGCGGGCGTGCCTAAAGGAGTTTGACTACGGCCCGGACCGCGCCGAGGGGTCCTGCGAGAAGCAGCGCGTTGGCTACTACAGCTGCATCAAGGGCTGGAGGGAGCGACAGAACGAGGCCTACGATCACAGCAGGTTCAATTTAGTGAAGGAGTGCGCAAGGGAGGCGGAGAAGCTGCATCAGTGCATGATGGTCAACATGTTCGAGGCATCTCGTTGCCAGGAGGCGATGGCGCACCTGAAGCGCTGCGCCGCACGGCACGACCCGGAGGTGCGGAGGGCGCTGGCAGACGATCCCGCGCTCACTGCCTTGGAGGAGGAGCCGCAGGGCATCAAGCGGCTGTGGTACCGCGCCATCGGCAAGCTGTGAGACAACGACAACACTGCAAACCTTCGACGTCTGCGGGAAGCCGTTCTTTTTTTCTTTGCTCTCTCTTTATCTCTGCGGCGCGTGTGGGTTGGACCGCATGCATTTCCTTCCCACTACTTCTGAAGTGGCCTAGACGCTCAGGAAACGTTATTGTGGTTGGTGTTCACAGAGATGCGGCGAATAAACGAAAATTGATTGCAAAAAAAAAACGAAAACAAAAGCACAAGCAGAAGCGGGGAGACAATAAGGACGAGGAGAGAAGAGAAAAAGAGGGAGCGGCGATCACGATGCCGGCGACAACAGGCCGGCTGTTGTTTTTGTTGTTGTCTTTCCCCAGGGGCAACTCTGCGTTGCACGGACGTGTGTGGGCGTGCGGGGGGTAGCTGAAGATGCAACGTGTCGGGCTCATTGGACAATCTCAGTGCCCTTGCGTGCCTGCGTTTGGCTCCTGCACGCCGCCGTCTGCGTTGCCTCTCTCTTCCACCGTCCTGCCGAGAGACTAGGGAGCAAGAACAAGACAAGCGCAAGTGTAGAGGGCGCGGGAGGAGGGTGGGGAGGAGAGAGAAACCAACGGCAGCAACCACAGCAAGGCGAATACATTGACTGCAGAAGAGCCGAATAGAGAGGGGGTGAGGAGTGGGGGGAAGGTCACTCTTTAGGTGTTTTATTTACTGCGGTTTTCCGCAGTTGTTTCGCGCACACCGCGCCGTCACCTCATTTTTCTCCGCCTCTTTACACGAGCCGAGCCGGCCACCAGTAAATGAGGGAGGGAGACAGAGAGGGGAACGTGCGGTTTCTTGTCTGGGGCCACAAGGGGTGGATCGGCCAGGCGTTCATGCAGCTGCTGGAGGCCTCCGGTTTGGAGGCCATTGGAGCCGAGTCCCGCGCGGACGATGAGGCGGCGGTCGAGCATGAACTGCACGTGGTTCGGCCGGATCGTGTCGTCAGTCTCATTGGCCGCACACGCGGCGGACGGCAGCTCACCATAGACTACCTTGAGCAGCCGGGCAAACTCATGGAGAACATGCGGGACAACTTGTGGTCCCCCGTTGTCCTCGCGCAGGTCTGTGCACGCCACGGCGTACACTTCACGTACCTTGGAACGGGCTGCATCTTCCACTACGACGAGGGGGCGCACAAGATGGGCAGGGACGGCTTTGACGAGGCCGACATTCCAAACTTCTTTGGCTCTGCGTACAGCACTGTGAAGGGCTACACGGACCGTCTCATGCATTTGCTCTTCAACACCACCGCGCTCAATGCACGTATTCGCATGCCCATCTCCGCTGACGACAGCCCGTACAACTTCATCACCAAAATTGCAAACTACGAGAAGGTGGTGAACATTACGAACAGCATGACGGTGCTGCCGGAGATGCTGCCGATTCTGATGCAGCTGTCACTGAACAAAGTCACTGGGACGATCAACCTGACAAACCCGGGGGCCATTTCGCACAACGAGGTGTTGGAACTCTACCGGAGACACGTCGACCCCGCCTACACGTACGAGAATTTTTCCGTCGACGAGCAGAACAAAATCCTCCTGTCGGCGCGCAGCAACAACCTGCTGGACACCCGTCGTCTGCAGCGGCTGTTTCCGAATGTGGACGAAATTCACACCGCCGTTGAAAAGGTGTGCATGGAGATTGCGAAAAAGTTTCCGTGTGGAATTGTGGAGCGGAGAAGGAGTGCCATGCGCAAGTACGAGTGACGGTCTGCCGGTTGTGGTGACTTTTGTTTTGTTTTGCTTCGTTTTTCCCTTATTCCCCCGTCTCTCTCCCCCTTCTTCTTTTTTTCTTCTGTCCGAGTTCTCTCCTTTTTTGCTGTTGTGGCTGTTGCCGCAGCGATGTTTAACCGGCGTTCTTCTGCCACAACGGCTGGAGATGTGTGTAACGGCAGGCGGGAATACGTGCACACACACACGCACACCCTGGGAGGCAAAGGGGTATACGGTCTCAGCAAACTGCCGCTGTCCGTTGTTTTTTGCATTTATCCCCTCTTATTTTTTTTTTTTTTTTTGGGGGGGGGGGGGGTTTTGGTTTACGTCTTTCTCGTTTGCCTGCGGCGTGGGAGAGTGTCTGTGGAGAGGGGCGGTTTGGCGGGCTCTGCCGGCGGCCACAGCTGACGCCGTTCTTTTTTCTTATTGCTTTTTTTTTTCTCTGTGTGTGTGTGTGTGTTTCCCTCCCCTTTATTTTCTTCGCTGCCGCTGTGGCGTTGTGCGTGTGCCCGCCAAGCCGCGCTCCTCTCGGCCCCTCTCTTCTCTCGCGATCCGTTCGGTCGTTTTTTTTTCTTGCCGTTGTTTTTGACTTCGCGCCTGCGCGCGTCTGTGCATGCGGGACGCTGCCGCCTTCGTAGGCGTCCCACGACACGTGCGACGCGCAGGAAGCCCCCGGCAGTCAAAGTTGTTTATCGACGCCTCATTTCTTTTCCGCGGGGAGGCGGCGAGAGTGGCGGAGTCGTGCGGCGACTATGCGCCGGCTGCGTGCGCTGGTCCTCCCCGATGCAACCTGGCGCGATGACAACTCCGCCGACGCATGCGAGAATAGGCTGTGCCGCAAGAAGTTCTCCATGCTGTTCAGCAAACACCACTGCCGCTGGTGTGGGAGGATTTTTTTGCAGCGACTGCG